CAATACCTTGGCTGGATGATGCTGGATGCAGAGGTCACGACGATAGGCTGGGCAGAGGCTGGAGGGAGGCGCCATCGATGGTGCAGGGGTGGACGGGCGGAGGCGAAGGCGGACCGAGTTTCGTACGCACCCCTACAGTCGCCTGCCTTCACCTCGAGGACATCGTCGGCAAAGACGACGGTTAGGGATTCATGGGAGACCGTGCTGGCTGTATCTCCATCTAAATCGGTGACGACATCGACGCGTGCGGAGAGCAGTGGAGCCGTGGAGGCGAGTGCGGTCTCAGGGCAGCGCGACTGGTGTACGGCGCGCGAGGTCGCCGGGGCGGCGGAGGTCGCGAGGCGGCACGACCCCTCTCGAGGCGGCGGAGGTTGTAGACGAAGGCGCTCGCAGCGAGGTGAGGCGTAGGCGCAGAGCTGTAGCGATGGTGCGGGGAATGCGGAGAAAGGAGCCGAGAGCTGTGCGCACGGGGCGAGGACGGAACGGTCGCGGAGGTAAAGATGTGCATGCAGCCCGTGGGCCAAAGGCCCGGCCCAAAGCACGGTTATTGGGCCCGACCCGAGCACGGCACGGCCCGAACCCTAACCGGGCCCGTGCCGGCCCGAAGCCCGTAGCAGGCCGGGCTTGGGCTGAGGCCTCGGCCCGCCGGGCGGCACGGCACGGCCCGTTTTACAACGGCCGGCCCGGTGGAGTCCCGTTTTAATTTATTGAGCTGGTCGTACTATTTTTCTTTCTAGGGTTTTATCTCACGAGGTGTGAGTTTTACCTAGAATGGTTTTTAATGAGGCGGCATTGCATAAAAAGCTCAAATATTTTGTCATCTGGTGTTTCTGTGATTGTTAAATATGAATATGTGAACCTGTGATTGTGCTGTTAAATATGGTGTTTACTGTGTAATGGGCTATGGGCTGGCCCGATGGACCAGTGGGCCGCGGGCTCAACGGGCTGGCATGGCCCGATATTCGGCCCACGGACCGTGCCTGTGCCGTCCGACAGGCACGGTGGACTGTTCAGGCACGGCCCGGTGGCCCGGCGGGCCAAAAGGGCCCGAGCCCGATCGGGCCGTGCCTGGCCCGGGCTCGGGCCGTGCCGTGCCGTGCCGGCCCGTTGCTCATCTCTACGCGGAGGAGGCGACGGAGCGCACAGGACAGGACGACGACGGAGAGGAAATCGAATCGACCATCGCAGACTGGAAGGGGATCGAGGGCGTACACAGGTTAGTAGTGCGCGTCAGCGCGTGGGCCCTCAACAACTGTAGACATAACCAATGAGTCAAGAAATCAAGCCAAGAACACAAGCAATGAGTCGTATATGTCACAAACAAGACGGCGGGATGTAGACCAGTGGAAGAGGGGCTCGGCCCAATGTATTTTCTCCAGTGTGTACCACGCTGAAACGAACTCTGTACCAAGACAGAAGAATAGAACCCTCTGCTCCTTTCTTCACCTCCGTTGCCGACTTGCCGTTCTTCCTCTCAATACCCAGAAATTTCCTCTCAGACCATTCCTAATCTTTATTTGTCCGGCAAAGTACGTAACAATCGGTACCTAGAGCTGGGATATCATCGGTTTCCCCAAATTTCTTTTCGCGTTCTGACGCAAAATCGAAGAGCCTGCGCGTAAGCCGAACAAGTTTGAGATCCCAAAGAGTGCTAGTGCTTGGACAACTGTACGGACGCCCGGGTCCGGATGCCCATGCCTACACTCCACGTGCCGCTCGACCTCACGCGGCATCTGCAACCCACCTGGTCCCACACGGCGTATGCACCCCCGCCTGACCCCACGTGCCCTCTCCGATAGCTGCAACAGGCGGGTTACATCGTAACATGTGTAACATCCTATCTACTTATGAAACATCTATATACAATACTTGTAACATACGTCTGAAGACAGATGGAACACTTGAAACATGTGTATGAACACACTTGCGAAAACATCCGAAATTGAAAACTATTGCAAACATACGCAAAATCCAGATAAAACACTTGAAACGTATGTGTGAAACGTATGCAACATCTAGATAAACATACTTGCAACATACGTCTGAAAAACAGATGAAACATTGAGAAAAGACGTTTGCAACATACGTTTACAACCATTGCAACATATGCAACATCCTGATCTACTTTTACAACACCCATATAAAACACTTACAACATACCTCTGAAAATTTGAAACACTTGAAACATATGCTTGCAACATGCGATGTATCTCGGTGCCTCCTCTGCCGTCTACAGCGGGGCGCCACAGCCGGAGGGCTTCCGTGCTAGGGCTCGACACCTCTCCTTACGCCGGCGGCGCCTGTCGGCGTCGTGGGGCACGAGCACGAGCACACGCACGGCGGCCTCGGTGGCCAGCTGACGCCCGAGGAAGCGGTCCCCACGCGTGGGCGCGGCGGTGCCTGCGCCATTATGCGGGGCGGGCGGTAGAGCAGGAGCAGCGGCAAGGGAGGTCTGGTGGGAGTGGGGGCTTGAGTGTGAAGTTGACAACAATAGGTTTTGGGGAAGGAGAGGAAGGGAACGCCATGGACGATGGACAGACGGTGACCGTCGATGGCGGAACAGAGCAGAGCAGGGGAGGTCTCTCGTCTCATTTCTTTATCTGGCCGGTGCAGTGAAAGGGACGGATGTGGGCACCGTAATAAACAAAAGGATGTGTTATTGGGCTGGTCCCTAGGCCCAGGAACAAGAAGGGGGTTTGGACGAACGAACGCCCTGCACATAACATTACTGCTGAAGAAATGATAATTATTGGAGACTAAAACATCACATATTTTGTGGTTGGAGGCTTGTAACAGGCTAAGTTAATTACAATATAATTACTACAAAACACATAAAAAAGTGACTCTTTGGATTTTTCTTAGCTCATAGAATCAGATGCCAGATGTTATAAAGCTCTTGGATTTTTCTTAGCTTGCAGATTCACCATCTCTACACACATAGATCACTACGGGATACACGAGATTTGCCGAGTGCTACGGGCACTCGGCAAAGCCCCAAACACACTCGGCAAAGCGTTTGCCGAGTGTAACACTCGGCAAACGACACTCGGTAATTTTTTATCGGCAAAGAGCTATTTACCGAGTGTCAAACGTCGGGTACTCGGCAAAGACTATGCCGAGTCAAAAAAAAACTCGGCAAACATTTTTCGAAAAAATATAAAAAAAGTCCCGCCACCACCACCACCACCCCCCCCCCCCCGCCGCCGCCGCCACCACCACAGCCGCCGCCACCACCACCACCACCAAAGCCACCGGGGAAGAAGAGGGGGGAGGGGAGGGGCGCCCGCTGGATCCGCCGCGCCGGGAGAGGGAGGGGGGAGGGTGCCGCCACGCTGGGAGAGGAGGGCCGCGCGCCAGATCCTTCCGCCCGCGCTGGGGCCGGATCCGTCCTCCCCGTGCGCCACCGTCGCCGTATCCGCTCGCGCCGGGGCTGGATCTGGTGGAGGCGGTGGAGGAGCGCCACCGCGCAGGGAGAGACAGGGGGAGCGCCGCCATGCCGAGAGAGGAAGGGGGGAGGGCGCCACCGCCGGGAAAGGGAGGGGGAGGGCGCCGCCGCGCCGGGAGAGGGAGGGGGACGGATCCGCCAGGACGGATCTAGGGAGGGAGGAGGAGAGAGAGGGAGGGGAGGGGCGCGCCGACGGGTGGATCTGAGGAGGAGGCAGGGGAGAGAGGAGGGGAGGGAGGGAAGGGGGCGCCGGTGGGCGGATCTCGAGGAGGGAGGAGGGGAGGGGGCGCGCTAGAGAGGGAGGGGAGGGCCGCGCCGATGGGCAGATCTGAGGAGGAGGCAGGAGAGGGAGGAGGGGAGGGAAGGGAGGGGGCGCCGGAGAAAGGGAGGGCCGCGCCGGTGCCGAAAATGGAGGAGGGGAGGGAGGGAGGGGGCGGCCGCGGGGGAAGAATGGGGAGGGAAGGGGCGGCCGCGGGAAGAAGAATGGGGAGGGGAGGGGCCCCCGCGGGAATTAACTATGATTTTTTCCTTTGCCGAGTGTCTCAGATCTAGGCACTCGGCAACAAAATTTTTTTTATTTTTTTTTCTTCTCCTTCTTTCGCTGAAAAATGATTTTTTGTCCTTTGCCGAGTGTCCTAGATCTGGGCACTCGGTAAAGTTTTTTTTTCTTCTCCTTTCCTAGAAAAATGATTTTTGGTCTTTTGCCGAGTGTTTAGATCTGGACACTTGCAAAGTTTTTTTTATTTTTTTTCTTCTCCTTTTTTTCTCAGAAAAATGATTGTTGGTCCTTTGCCGAGTGCAAAAAATAAAACACTCGGCAAACCCCCTCTTTGCCGAGTGTTTTTTTACACTCGGCGAACCTTCTATTTGCCGAGTGTTTTTTTTTTTGCCGAGGGTTTTTAGCGCAGCACTCGGCAAAGAACTTGTTCGCAGAGTGTCCGAGAAAAAACTCTCGGCAAACATAAAAACACTCGGTAAATTTTAGCTAAGGTTTTCCATCTCTTTTAGATTGAAAAAAAAAATCTCTGCTGTCCAAATGCACGTACTAGCAAACCATATGAGATCTCAGATTCATTATCCAATAGCTTATTATGATCAACATCAGAAACCGTATCAGATCATAAAGTCTATCACAATCTAATGAACCTTTTCTGCTTCAGTCTTCAGAAAACTCAACCAGAGCTCTTGGAGTTAGAGCAGCTTATCGCCTGATCGTCGAGTCCAAATAAACAGTCAGTTTGTGCTGGAGCTACTACCGAGAACAATCGTAGCGAAGCTTGGGCAAACAGGATCATGGACTCTACTTTAACCACCTACGCAATAATCATTGTCACTTCGATCAGTGGCAAACCACTAAAACTATCACATGTCCGTACGAAATCTCTTCATAGCCATATAAAGCGTCTCATTACAATACACAAAGTTGAATTTGACACGTAAAATTGAATCAAGAAATCTTAGAATTTGTACACGTACAATTGAATCATCACATCTCGATCGTTTGATCCACTCCTCCGGCCTCCTGTCATACCCAATGTACGCCACGTACGGTATCCTACATCGCCGCGACGCCACCGCCGGCGCCCACGCCGTTCCCGCCACCGTGGCAACGACGACGCCGGCACTGCGGGGACTGGCCGAAGTTGTCGACGGGGAACGCCTGCGAGAGCGGGCCGACGTAGAACATGAGGTGGTCCGCGTCCTCCATGACGACGCGGTCGATGCCCCAGTTGAAGAGGAACATGCGCACCGAGACGCCGCCGAGGTTCCGGATGCTGCCGCCCTCGACGTTGCCGTAGATCCTGCGCCGGTACGTGAGGCGGTAGCCGCCGTCCACCTCGAACTCGCAGTCCCCGCCCATGAACACCTCGAACGCGCCGTCCGACGGCCGGTACGTGTACCCGGTCACGCCCTCCGGCAGGATGCCCCTCGGGAACCCGAACCCCTCCAGCATCTCGTACGCGCTCGGCTGGCCGTCGGCTGCGGTGCCGGTGGGGAGGAGCGTCGAGTCGAAAGCCGACACGGTGAGGAGGAGTAGCGAGAGCAGAGGCAGGAGGAGGACGAGACGGCACGTGGTGGCTGTGGCCATGACCGTGGCCTGTGTTGATTATTGGTTCTCGGAAGTCGTTGGACTCTTGAAGGTGGTGGTTGATGACGACGAGTTTTATAAGGGATGTTGTTGAGAGGAGTTGGGAATTGGGATTGGAGTCGTAATCGGCTGGATTTTTTGGATTGAAGTTTGGGTTGATGGGAGATCCGGAGGAGCTGTCAGGGTTGATGATATGGCGATCTGTTTCTCTTGGTTTGGCGTGAGGGTATGTCCTGACTTCGGCTGTACGCTGGACACGGACAGCAAAAAGAATGCTTGCTCGCACTATAACGTGCACGGGCAAACAATATGCACGCGCGCGTTCATGTAACGATTGACTGAACAGACGATTGGACAAATTAGATGACAATGTATGTTCTCCGTAACATGGCCAAAGAACCAGATTTTCAGCAACATTGTCACAGTACGGGGATACTGGATGAGAGTCCACGGTCCAGAAATATTTCATCCCAGCAAAATCATATTTCCCATCAAATCAAACAACCATTGTTTTGTTTTGGTGGGTGGTTTTTGATTGCTGGGTGGGGTAAGGGTGGGGCTAGGGTTTAGGGTGTCATCATATATACAACACAAAAGGATTACACCCAAGCGGAACATTTATATCTACCTCAAAGCCCTCCCGTTTTTCCGCGATAGATATACCTACATATTATAAGGGACCGTGACGCCTAAAAGGGGGTGAATTAGGCAACTTAAAATTATACTTCTCTAATTTCACCTAGTTAAAACCTATGCATGAAAGTAATCTATCTAAATGTGTAACTACGGATTTACTAGGTGTGTTGCTATCTCTACCGTAAAAAAATGATACAACCTAAGTTTCAATCCTATCAGCCTATCAACTAAGCTAGAGAAGTAAAGCACACAACCAAGGTAGCAATGTAAATGCGGAAGGTAAAGATGAGGTAGATGTGCAAACTTCCGTCGACGACTCCAGTATTTTTACCGAGGTATCGAGAAGCGTTCAAGCTTCCCCCTAGTCCTCGTTAGAGCCCCTGTCACAGAACCGTTCAATTTATAAGAGCACAAGTACAATAGCAATCATTGAAGCGATAAAACCGTCATACTTGATCTCATATAAACCCGATAGTCCAATCAAATCTCGAAGGATCTCAAACAACTAACATACAAACCAAGATCGTAGAGATTTAACACAACTAGTCACATGTTACATCACAGTTCACAAAAATTTCTCATACATCAGAGTTCGAATAATTATTACAAACTAAGTTTGAAAGTAGCGGAAGCAAAGTAGTTTAACATCAACATCACACGTAGTTTAATACAAAGCCAGTGTCATAGTCATCTCCAACCAAAAGCAAAAGGGTGAGATGGCAAACATAATGACCATTGCCCATGGTCCTAGTCCTCATCCACTGCAGGAGCAAGACAGTTCTTGCAGTAGCCGTGCTACATAATATTATCTACAACAATGGAAATAAAACCCTAAGTACGAGAAGGTACTCAGCTAGACTTACCCGTCCAACTAATATACTAAGACACCAAGGAGTATGCAAGGGTGTATAAGTAGAGCTGGTAGACATTGTTTGCAGAAAAAGCATAAGTTATCCAACATATCTTTAATTGTGAATCACCAGTTATTAATCATATCTCATACTAGATTAGCACTATCCTATGCCAAACATGTTGGTACCATTAAGTCATCACAATAATAACCATATCCAGTTGAGTTCTTGCATAATCTCATAACCAACATTTCCGTCATTTACTACGATGAAGTGTACTCAAGTCAAGTTCTCACTATCCGGGAGAGACGGCGATTTGAATCGATTCCTACCCAGCTGGGGAATTATTCCTAACATACACCCATACTTCGCCCGTCGGGGTTGCATCAGGTCACCTTTGGGACAACTCAAGTACAATCGCGGGTAGGACCAGCGCCGCACCCTCAAAGATACAACCAATCTGCCAAGGGGGCTCGGGACTCTAATCCGCCCTTGGGCTTACGCCATTGGCTCTCCGCACATCCTTACTGCCTCTAGGGTGCACACTTTAACTGCTCGTGTCCCCGGCCAGAGTTGAGCTACTTGGCTTCGCGATCGGAACGACTTATCTGCCCAACTATGTGAGAGGCATGCATTCAACATGACAAGATGACCTCCAACGGCCGGTCCTTAAAAGACACAGATGGAATCACTACGATACCACAACATAAGACTCCGCCCAGTCTCCATTTATTCAACAGTACCAGGTTATGTTCTACGATAGCACAATATAGCCAACCGTGATCAAGTGATCACCTATAGCTCGCAGGTGACAGGAAATCACCCGACTTCTACCGGTCTAAGCATAGCTAAGCATGATAAGCGTTCCTGAACTTAATTAGGATTCATGGTAGATATTTCTGGTCAAGGAAGGTATTATGCAGCAAGTGTTTCCAAACAACTCCTGTCACGTAATGCATCAATACGAATAACTTTAGGTGACATTAATAAAGTAGGAAGACTTATAATGCTCCGGGGCTTGCCTTTCACGAATGTTGCTGGCTGATGATCCGGGCACTCGGGAAGGTGATCAACCTCAGGCTCTCCTTCTCTGGGAACCTCCTGGTGCTGCACCTCCTGATTCTCCTCCTGTGGGTCAACGTTGAGCTCTACCACTGTGATCTCTTTGGTGGCACCTATTGCATGCATATGCATAAGCAAGTCTCATGAATGCATACGAAGGATCATAGATGATGTGATATGGAAAGGTACATGCTGCGATAATGAGGTTAAGTTACACCATGATAGCAATGCTAACTCCATACTAACTGAGTAGGTGTATATCTCTTCTCTACCTACTTACAAATTTCACATAAAGCAATGTCTAAGCTACACATGGCAGTTATAAGTTTATATCATAACTGAAGTTATACTTATCCAAATGCTTTGATCTTGGACTTTTTGGAAATCTTATAAAATTTCCTACAACTCTTATTTAATCACCAAAAGCAAATTCTCACTCTATCCTAACCAAATAGGCAATCTATCCAGTGTTGTTCAGAAATTCCAAAGAACAAGAATTTCGGGAGACTAATTTAAAACAGCTATAACTCCTAAACCCTTTGACCTATTTTCCTAAAATTTTAACACAAGATATATGAAGAAGTTCCCTACAACTTTATTATTAACCATTTCTACAGCAAATATCATTTTCACTATCCAACATACCCAAGAACAGAATCTATCCGAAATACTTCTAAATCAAATTATAAAGCAACAATATTTTTACTACATGTAAGCATTCCAAATTTGACATCAACAAGTATACCAACAGTTCAAGAACATCAAATACACTCAAGAAAACATAGTGGTAAAGCCCAAACTATTCATTTGAATGCCTTTATTAATTTAATTAGATAATTAGGGAAAATAACAAACATATACCAAATGTGCACAATAAATTCTCAGAAAATTACAGTGGCTTCCAAGTGCTACAAATAGACTACTGTAAAATTTTCATACCATTTGACCATGTATAACATCCTTTACAAAAATAACAAGCTACCAAGACCTATTTTAGTAAAAATAGTAAACCCTATAGAAAAGTGTCAAACAACATATTATATATTTTTTCTAGCTTCATATTAGTGCCATACTACTGTACAAAAATTTACATATCAATATGTTACATATTTTTATCCCTACAATTTTCCTTAGAAAATACCATTTATTACTAGAATAATAGAAAGACCCTACTTCAATCAAGTTTACAGTAAGTTTATTATTTTTTCTAGCTAGATCATGTCAACACAAATCCAACAAAATTGGAATCACAATTTTATGAGTTTTCTAGCTCAAGATATCTATTTTACAATATTACTAACATTCAAAAAGTACTTATTTAAATACATTTTAATCACCAAGAAGAATACCAGAAAATGTACCTTCCATATTTTTACAAAACTCTAAACTTCATGAGGATTGCAACAAAATTTGGTTCACAAGAATTGGACATCTAGAACTCCACGTATGATTTTTGAAAGTTTGCATCCAAAACTGAAATAAATGAACTAGCTTTCTCTCTATAGCCACTGACAGCCGGGACCCACGCATCAGACGGGCCCGCACGTGATTGGCACAAAAACAGAGCAACGGCGCGGGACGGTTGGAGTTCACCGACGGTGAGCTTCTCCGGCGATGGCACCGGTACTACGATGATCCCTAAGACCTTGCGCACATGCTTGAGCAACTAGTTGGACGGATTAGCGAGGCTAAGGACGACGGCGGCGGTCATGGCGGCATGGCGGAGCGGGTCATCGGCGAGGCGCCGGAGCTGGCTATGACAGCTCGATCTAGGGTTACGACAAGCTTCTACAAACGACGGCAGTTCTAGTGCACAACCTATCGTGACCAGAGGTGGTCGGAGACGGCCCAGCCATGGCGACATGGCATGGCGGTGGAATGACGGTGAGGCCGTGCACGGCACGGAGACCTTACCGTGCACGGCTAGCAAGCAATGTAGGCACGGTGAGACGGTGGGAGCATAATGGAACTGCGGTGGTGGCGGAGGAGCGACGTGGTGCGAGCTAGGGCCAGCAATGGCGATGGCGACGCTGCACTGAGCTGCTGCGGGCGAAGGCGAGAGTGAAGGAGGAAGCCAGGGAAGGGAAATGAACGCACGGGAGAGAGCGGGCGAGTGCAGGGCGTGAAGTGGCACGCTGAGGCCCGACGTGGCCTGACCGGCCAGGCCATCGGCGACGCGCGGCTTCCACGCTGCAGCCAGAGCCTAACGGCGGTCGGCCACTGATGGCTAACGATTCGGCCATTAGAGCCAGCTAGTCCGGCCTGACAGCGTGTTTTGGCGATGATCAAGCTCCTAATCCGTAGCTCATTAGTGAAATCTATCTTAACAAAAGTTGTAGCCCTATGTACCACCTCCAATTCCTATTTAAAGATCAAGGTCTAATTCTCAACGAATAAAGAGTAAAATCATCCCAAAGTCGGGTCAATCAAACTAAAAACCAACTGGGACTT